TTCTCCTGTGGGATACATATACTAATGAAAACCCATCAATAGGTCTAACCCTCCCCATCTCTATACAAAAATAAAAAATTGCCCGCACATACAGTTCAGGCTCTGGACCAAATTAGTTCTGGCAGTCTGCCATCTAATTCTCTGCAGCCATGTGAATATGTGCAACTGCATAAATAAACTTTTTTTATTGGACCCTGTAGAAAAATGTTTTTGTCAGTGCCACACAAAATATTAAGCACTGTCAAAGCCACACTGCTTTAGGATATCAGTAGCCCTAAACTGGTGGTCCTCATTACCCAGTTGTGGACTTCTTCTGGAGTGTGGAGTTCTTTGTTATATCTTCAGATAGGGCAAAATAAGCATAGAACAATCTGAGGCTATCTGCTACAGCTCTAATGTTGTGATGACATTGACACACAAGGAAGACTCCTTTCTTAGTGGCCAAGAATAATATTTAGCTATGTTAGAACATTAGCTATGAAGCTCTATATCTTAAAAATACTTCTGTTGGAATCCTTTTGTTGATGGGCCTGGAGCAATTGCAATCTGAGCTAGAGAACAAGTATGACATTTTGTAAGCAATTTTTGTTAAGTAGACAATGACAAATCCTAAAATAATAATTATTTTGGTCTAAAGACTGCTAAGTACATTCTATTCCAACCGTATACAATGTCACTTGACATGATTTTAAAATACTGCCCAATTTAATTTACTTTGTATAAACCATTACTGCTATTTTTTTAGAAATAAGTAAAGAATCCATTTGATTACTAACCTTAATGCTGACCATACAATACATTGGGTAATTTTGTGGCATTTAGGCAGCTTTCAACTATAACTGTTTCACCAACTAAAAGTGAGAATGGGGTGGAAATAAAAGAAAAACCCTAGGTTCACTCATAAGGCATTGTTGACTCATTTGCATCCAGCTTTTGCTGTCTAGTCACTTGAGACCAGGAAATGTTTGTGGTTGAAAGCGGCAAAATTGCAGAGTGTATGGCCAGAATAAAAGTCAATGAGATGTGCTCTTATTTCTATCACACAGGGGTCTATTCACTAAGCTGCCGCAGGCAGCTTAGTGAATTACCTAAAAATGATTACCTAAAAAAGTAATTAGTAAACAATGTTGCTGGAATTTCCAATGTGCAAGGTGCTTATCTGGCCAATGTATTAGCCAGCTAGATTGTTAAAAACTAAAGTAAAATAGTAATGGTAAAAATAGATTTATAATCCTACTAACCTAAAGGAAAAAATAGATTTATTAATCAGCAATGTAATTAGAGCCACCACAATATCTAGCAATATAAAAACGGCTGGAATGCTGCTTAAACAGGGCAGTGGAGAAAAGAGGTAAAGGTTATCTATATAAGAGTTTAGCTATGTCCAATCAGATTATTGGACATGGGAAAGAATTAGAATGTCAACTGGATCTGGATCAGGAGAAAACAAAGGTTTGTTGTTCTGTGTGTTGATTGCCTCTTTGCTTGTTATTCTAAAAAGTGATTTACTTAAGTGTATACAATAAATGTTTTCCATACAAGACACATTTCCTTTCTTTTGAGACCCCAGTAGTAAAAAAAAGACATCTCCTGGTTGTACCACCTTTCATGCAGCACTACAACAGATAGTTTAAAAAGAATACCTCGTTTTCGTGACAGGAATCCAAAGTTAATAGTTTTGACACAGTAGTATTTGCTGTGCAACTTTCAGCCACAGGAGACATATGTCCATTCCTGACAGGTGGTGTAACTCCTACTGGCTGGGTGCTGTGAGAGTGGGAATATGACAGAGCCTGTGCTGAAAATTTGGTCCCAAGCGTTAGGTACTGTTTTACTTGCTGCCTTTGTGTTTGTTGTAGATGATACTTTGCTGGGTTTTCAAGGTGTGTTTGAACCTGTAATAAAAATAGGTATATTTATGTAGCTTTTATTAAGTTTATACATACTATAAAATAGTATTAACTGTAACTGTTTTAATTAGACAAAGATTTTGATGTAGAAACCAATACTAGCAAAGCACTGGGATCAATTTACTAATAAGTTAGAAGCTGTTCACTTAGTTAACTGAATGTCCACTATAATGTATAATTACTTAGTACAATATATAAGAGGAAACTTTGAATACCCAATAATCTGCATGGGAAAGGAATACAAAAAAAAAAACAAGATTTGGGCTTGCATTTGACTGGATGATGGAAGGAAAACACAGGTTTACCTCATGTGCCAAGCTATTTACTAAGTGAACATACGCTTTGCTATATGAACAGTCACTATTCCTTCATTAAATCAACCCTTATATGGTAAAATTGATATGTCAACATATAGCTTTATAGGAAGGGATGCCTATAATCCTTATCCGAAAATGTATCAGCACACTTTATACAATTTGTTTTTAGGAAAGTTATACATTTAGGCAAGATGACCAAAGAGTTTGCAAAAAGTGTAATTAATTGCATAGCTCAGTTGAAAATGTTTCAAACAACTTAAGTAAAATCACAGTATTGATCAATGCCAGCAGGTTAATAAATTCTAAATAGTATATATTACATTACTTTACAGTATATGATTATGAAAAAATAGTAATGCAATGTAAAGATAGTTGTGTTTTCCTTTAAATACGCATATGTTTGTCCAGTTTAGTACTAAAATGATATTCATATTACAATGATATTATCAAGTTTAGAACCATAACATGATGTGTAAATGGTTCAAGAAAAATATAAATACAGTTCAAGCCAACTATGTTCATTAAAAAAAATACAGTTCAAGAAAAAACACATAAACAAAATTCAATAAGAAAGACAAAAAATGTGTATAGCTAATGTACATTCTATTCTATTTGCATAACAGTCAATGATTTGTAGTTTGCACATACTTTTGCATATGTGCATTTCATATCCATATACTAAATGTTACATTTTAAAAGAAAATAGAAAATAACAGCCATCAGCACTTCTTACCTCATAGTAGGAACATTCAGTTAAATGAGGCATTTTTCAACAATTTTGACAGAAAATATCACAGCTCAATCCTAGCAATGGAATCACCAACTACACACTCCTCTGGAGGTTGCAGTTCAATAGGGACAATGTTTGAACTCAGTAGGACTTTATAATCTTACTAAGCATGATAAAGGATCTAATTGGCTACGATGAGGCCATCCTTTGATTGCAAAGATTGACAGTTACTTCAAATAGCTCTGCTTCTGTAGATGTCACATTCCTTTAATTTAACCACGACAGGGATACTACGTACAACATAAACTGTATTGTCAATTGAGTCTTGCATCTTTAGTCCAATGGGCTTACTGATGGTTAATTGCAAAGTTGTAGTAATAAATTCTCCTTAAGTGCCCCAAGTGTAAGTATTTTTAATACGCTTTTAATGATCATGAGTAGCAATGCTTGATTTACAACACATATTTATTTCTCTGCTACCCAATTACACAAACTATTTAGAATTCCCCTAACATACATTAACATGCATAAATAACCCACATGAAGCACTCTGCATATAAATGAAGCTCATTTTGTAATCAATTTGTAATAGTTACTCAGTTATTCACTTACTAGGTGCTTGATATTTTACTATTATTTTACTATTATTTTACTATTATTTTAATTACAAGCTTCATGAAAAAGCTAAGATTCCTAATAAGTATTACATGTATTTATGTTTACATTACTCTAATCTTAAAATATACCAATTTTCATGAAATTGTGATACTGTCAGCCTATTACCTAAACCACACTCTTAGCATGGTATACATAAAGCCTTAGCAAAAATCAGGAAAACAGAGGAAAATATATAACCCTGGGATTGTGTTTGGATAGTATTTGTTAAAAAAACAATTAGCTGCACACTGGGCCTAATTTAATAAAAGGAATGAGTGCATGCTGGCACATTAATTGTGAGTGGACTGCCAAATCATAAGAGTATTTAATATGTGCCTGTATGTATGTGGACAGGCTACAACACACATACACTGAATGTTCTAACAAGCGTGGGTTGCTATTGACTATAAGCTTAAGTGCCCAATCATATGTTGAATAAATGCTTTAAAAAAAATGTCTTCTCTACTATTTTTTTGGTTTGTTTAGATTTTACATGTGTTTCTCATATAGCAACAAAACCACATTGAAGTGCATACTGATTTCATCAAAGGTGTCCATGGCTCAGGAAAAGCAATACTCCACATACAGTAGATAGAAAAAATCTAATTATTGTAGATATGTAGTGAAGTGACTGTTGTTAAAATAGATGCTGAAGATAAGGGATTGCCTGCAAAGAAGAAATTCATTACTCCGATCTTGTTTCACTTCATATACAAGGATATGGGAAGGGTTAGAGCCATACATATATATATATATATATAT